TCTTTAATATTCTTCCAGATTTTTAGTAGGTATAGTCTTCCAATTGTGCTCCGCAATTCCTTCCAAAACTCATTAGTAATGACCATGGTATTCAATTTAAGCACATAAAAAATAGGCACATCTGACATATACTAGAGAAATCCTCTAGTAATTCTATTCATGTATCATCATACAAGCCATATATACTGTCTTCATACTCAATGTATTAGTGACTACATTGGCCTTACCTGGCTGGTATTTCAACCCAAAATTGTAATCTTTCAAAAATTTCATCCCTCTCTGTTGTCTTATGTTCAACTCTTTCTAGTCAATCAGATTTTAAAACTCTTATAGTCACTAAACACACTTCAAACTGTGAGCTATAAAGATAATGTCTCTAAATCTTTAGAGCAAAAACAACAGCTGCTAACTCAAGATCATGAGTAGGGTAATTTTCCTCTTGTAGCCTTAATTATCTAGACGCATAGGCTATAACCTGATTGTCTTGCATTGGTAGATATCCTAAACCCTTAAGTGAAGCATTGATGTATACTATGTAAGACCACTTTGGATCTGAAATTGTTAACACTGGTGTTGTAGTTAACTTATCCTTCATCGTTTGAAATGCTACTTCATACTTCTCAGTCCATACAAATGGCTGATCTTCTTTGTCAACTTAGTCAAAACAGAGGCTATTTGTGAAAAACCTTGAATGAATCTTCGATAGTAATCAGCTAACCCCAAGAAAACTTCTTATCTCTATTACCGAGGTAGGTCTCTCCTATTTCAATGCTGCATTGACCTTTAAGGATCCACAGATATACTATTAGCGGATATCACATGACTGAGAAATTTCACTTCCTGAAGCTAAAAATTCACACTTGCTTAATTTTGCATATAGTTTGTGCTCTTTCAACACCTGCAACACAATTCTCAAATGCTTAGTATGTTCTTCTTCATCCTTAGAGTAGATCAGGATATCATCAATGAACACAACTTTGAATTTATCCAAGTAGGGTCTAAAAATCCTATTCCTATAATCCATAAAGTTTGCTGGCATATTCATCAATCCAAAAGGCATTATTAAGAATTCATAATGCCCATATCTCGTCCTAAAAGCAGTTTTGGGTACGTCCTGAGATTTCACCCTTAGTTGATGGTAACCAGATCTTAAGTCGATCTTGGAAAACATGGTTGCTCCGATAAGCTAGTTAAGCAAATCATCTATCTGAGGCAGTGGATATTTATTCTTGATTGTTACCTTATTCAACTATCAGTAATTAATAAACAATCTTAAGCTTCCATCCTTTTTCTTCACAAACAGCATAGGCGAACCCTAAGGGGATACACTTAGCCTAATGAATCCTTTCTCTAGCAGTTCCTCCAATTGTTTCTTCAATTCTTCTAGTTTCGATGGAGCCATCCAGTATGGAGCCCTAGAGATGGGTTCAGTTCTTGGCACTAGGTTAATAAAGAATTCAATCTCCCTTACCAGTGGTAAGCTAGACATCTCATCGGCAAATACTTTTAGAAATTCACTTACAACTCCAATCTCGTCAAGAGTGCCATCGTACTCTCCAAAGGCTGAAAAGAATACTAAAAACATCTGACACCCTTCATAGTCTGACCTCTTAATTTGCATGGCAGATAAAAACATGGGTATCTCAAGATTCACTATGGGGGGTAGTATCCTCAGAGACTGCAAGAGTCACATTACACACTGATAGAGAAACTATTTTCTTTCACAGTTTAGTATCGCTACGTTAGCTGATAACCAATCTATCCCAACAATCACATCAATCCCTAACATGGGCAAATAAACCAAATCAATTAGTGTAATACTATAACCAAATCTCATTTTAACTTTCAAATATGCACGGATGGTTTTCACAGAAGAAGCTCCAGCCAATGTAGAAACATTCATCAACACAGGCAAATCAATCACAAGCAACTTTAACTTTTCTACACACTCATTTGAAATAAAAGAGTAAGTAGCACCCGAATCAAATAAAGCAGGGATCTTAGTATCACCAAGAAAAATAGTACCTCTAATAAGCTTCGAAGAAGCTTTAGCTTCTTCCTTGGACAAGGCAAAGACACGACCAAGAATAGCAGACCTTTAGTCATGTACACTAGCATACTCAGGGCAGTATCGCTATGTGGCCCACCTTATTACATTAAAGCATGTCCAATACTCCCCCCTTAAGATACTTCCTATACTTGTTGCATTGTAGAGCTCTCATAGGTCCAGTAATAGCAGGGTAAAGTCCTGTCTTCAGTCTGGTTTGACCTCCCATACCTTTGGGTGTATTGTTCTTGGACTAGGATCCCTTGGATTGAGACCCCTTTTGAAAATGATTCCTAGCACCCCTAACATTAAACCCTCAGGATGATCTCGAACCATTGGTCTTCTTGCTTACACCACCAGTAGGACCCATGAATGAAGAAAAATAACCCTAACCATGTCTTTTCTTATCATATACTGATTTGCTTCTTTTAGCGCTGAAACTTATTGCACATCACTTCAAAGGAAGTGATCTCAAAGGCTAACAATTGCCTACTATACTCAAGTCGTATCTTGTTTAAGAACTGCTCGGCCTTCCACTCCTTATCATCATGATGTCTCAGATAGATCGAATACTTTGACAATTCATTGAACTTAGCTATGAACTCCTCCTCATTCATATTACCTTACTATAAGTGATGAAACTCAAATTCCTTCTTTGCTCGAAAGGTAGATGGGAAATAATGAGTGAAAAATCTCCTCTTGAATTCTTCCATATAAGTAAGGATCCATCAGCTGGCCTTGTAATTTCTCACTATCATTTGGCGGTATCCTCTAGCATCAAAGTAGCAAAGAGTACCTGCTACTCTATAGTATAGGTCATCATGAAAAATATGGTATCCAACTGATTTATCCACTTCTCACCGGCTCTATCCTCCATACAACTACTAAAGTGAGGAGGATTCAACCTCGTGAATCTCTTGAGTGCATAGTCAATGGAACCCTCATGTTCCTTCTCAGTCGGCCTCATAAAACATATTGGCCTCTTCAATGCACTCTCCTCATAGTACTCCTCATTTTTACGCCCTTGTACCTCTTCCAGCATCCCAACTCTTTTCTTTTTCTCAGGGTTACCTCCTGTTTTGTCAATCGTACCACTACACCTTCTTCAGGTTTCTTCTCAAGAATCTTATTATGATCATCCAATCTCTTCTTAATTCTCTCTATCATGCTCTTAACTCAAGCAACACATTATCCCCACCCATGGAGTGTACGGGTTGTTCTTGGTTTCTTCCTATTTCTACTTGTTCTTCTTTAATTGGGACTACTTCATTCTCTACCTCTATCGAGACTTCTTGCTCTTGTCTTGATAGGTTTATTGAAACATTTTTGGCTGTGTGTCTTGTTTGCACCAATGTCCCTCCCTAAGGATGGAAGTCATCCCAAAAAAGAAAAATGATCAGTACTAGTTCAAGAGAGGAAACAACATGTGTATAATGACAATTGCCAACTCTATATGCAAATGCACAAATAGGCATGATTACGTAACATAATTCATAGACTAGTACTCATAACCTAGCTCTGATATCAAGTTGTAATATCCTCCCTTTTTTAGCCCATAATTAAAACCCAAATCTCAAGTAATTAGGAAAATGAGATGATAGTAATCATTAAATACAAAATTCTCATGGGTTAACAAAATAGGGACCCCAAGATTATAAATTTAAAGTCAAATCAAGTATTGCAAAGAGGCAAAACAAAGTTTGCAAATACACGGAAGCAAGGGATTATCATATAAATGGTTACATAGGTGCAACAATTTGGAACAAGAAAAATTTTTGAAAAATTAAAAGGCGTGTGTTGCGGTGTGTTCGCCACTATGACACACACCATGGCTTGTGATGCCAGGCACCACGGCTTAAATGCACAAACTTTGACAGTGAGTTCTGCTATCAATTTGATAGTTTTAAGGCCAACTTTTGATGCGTCCTAAATCTTAGTCTGATGTTTGAATGACGTGAACTAGGAGTCTACAGAAAGTCCTTTCCAAGCTCTAACTAATGGTGTTGGTCTCAGGCTCAAATTATTTTTAAAACAAGAATTGGACACCTTTTTCAAAACTTAATCCTTTACCTCTACTTTCATAAATGTCAAGTGTCCTAACCTAAAATTAAGGACCAATGTCTACCAACACCAAATGACTACATATAACTCAACAAAACTAACTCGTGCAAAGCACCAAAACACAAGAAACATTTCTAGATCAAATCTCTGCCAATCAATCCCTTAACTCAGAATCATAGGAAGGGGGAGTTTATCATAATTTTCATCAAGATTTCCTAAATCATCACATAATATACACTACCCTCACTTGCATTAGTATTTTGGCCCTATCAACATAACACATAATAATCAACTCTCTCCCTAGGACCCAAAATACCATTACAAATTTACTTTTCTCTTAATGCAAGTAAGTAACAAAAAGGGACATCCTAGGTAGCAATTGAAATTGTCATACACATAAATTACCTAAAATAAAGAGGCCTACTCGGGATCCTAAGCCTCGGGTTTTTGCTCTATCAACACTTCTTGAGCTATTCCCTAAAATATTGAAGATAATGGGGTGTGTGTGAACACCGTATTTTGTCTGGGCATTTTTTAAAATTTAATAATAAATAACCAAAAAAAATAAAAAATACAAAAATAAAATTTAATCCTTTTTAGGATTATATTTTCAAAATAAAAAAACTTTAATTAATAGGGTTTAATATTATAATCTGCTGATTATGATTTTATTTCTTTAGCTCATTACAACAACTAAAAATATAATAAATATAAAAAAATGAAAATTCAATCCTTTAATGATTTTTTTAAAAAAAATAAATAAACAACTAAAAAATTGTAGTTAAATATGTATATATATGTGTGTGTGTGTAACCAAAGGTTAAACGCTGGTTCTAGCATTTAACTATCTATTTTGGTCCTTTGTTCCAGAAACACCAGACGAGCAAAGGAAACACAGAGCAGATCATGCACACACATGCACAAAAGGAAGCTTCACAGAGCAGAATATACGCACGCGAGACAAAGCGTGCACAGTGAACACACGAAACACACGCACAGCACGTAAACTCTTCACACGCAACTCTCCCTGCTTCTGTTTTAAAACAGACGAAATAAGATTGAGAAGATGGGGAGAGCCAGACAAACAAAAAGAGAACAGAAGAGGAAGAGCAGAGAAAAGAGAGGGAAGAAAAGATCGAAAAGAGAAGACAGGAAGGAGAGAGCACGAGAACGAAGAAGAAAAACCAGGGACGTCAAAACAGAGAAAGAGAAGACTTGAAAGAGAGACAAAGAGAGAGATCGAGAGAGGAGAAAACTGAAGCAAAACAGAGTACAACAAAGAAAAAATAGAGCACCGAGAAAGAGGGAGGAGAGACTGAAAAAAGAGAGAGCCAGAGACCGAGAAAGATGAGTTTTATTTTCTGAAAGAAAAAGAGACTGTGAAGGAGGAGGAAGAAGAAAAAAGGAGAGAGTTCGAGAAAAAAAAAACAGAGACCGAGCAAATAAGAGAGCACAGAGGGAGCAGAAGTTCGAGAGAGACAGAGAGGGAGAGTGAGAGAGCACAGAGAACAGAAGCTGAATGAGAGAGAGCACGAAAAAAGAAAAAAATGAGAGAGAGAGAGACCAGAAGCTGGAGGAGAATGCAAAGAAAAAACAGAGACTGGAAACTGTGAACGAGAGAGCGAGAAGAAAAAAAATGCATGCATGCACACTCACACGAGTTTGGGATGAAAATAGAGCACAGGTTCTCGATGAAAAGGAGTGAGCAAAGCACAGAACAAAAAAGAAGAAAATGCAGAAACAGGACATGCATATGCATGTGGGTACTGAATGAGATCATCTTCTTCTTTTTCCCTCAGTTGCGTGGGTTCATATGCTAGCAATGTACAGGTTCTGATTCGGTCCATCAATTGGAGGAAGTAACATGGCTTCAAAGCACATCTTGAAGGCGCTTAAGGACTTGCAGAAAGATCCACCGACTTCATTCAGCACAGGTTTTTCATAACTTTATGTAGCCTTACATTATATCATTTTCTAGCCTCAATGTATGCATAGCTTGTTATAAGATACTATAGTTGAAGGTTATAGATATATTACTATAGATTTGATTTTGGCCGCTTATAATTAAAACTTAGACATATTTTTACAAATTAGATTTTGTTAAGCTAAAAATCTTGATTACATAACAAATGTGGTTTTGAATAACTCATATCGTAAGAGAAAATTTAAATCCCCATAAAATGATCCTCTATTATGTAAATTAATAAGATTTATAGGTATGAGGATCAATTTTGTATAATAATATGGGTTCCAAAGACTCATCATCAAAATTAATTCTCTTTTATAATCAATAAAATATTTAAGTCTCATGAGAAAATTCAAGAATCTTTGTAGAGAATTAAATTAATTGTCTTATCGTGTGGGATAATAAATCCTCGTAGATATCACAATTCACAAATTATATGAATTTTGTAAAAATAATAATAATAAACATTTTTATATATTATTAATTAATAAATTTAAATTATAATCATATTATCTAATTAGATCTTTTGGTCATATGAGATTTGTGAACGTCTATAGACCTCTAGAATAATCATCTTACCATGAAAGTCAATAAGACTTCGCAGGTATAGTTATTAAGATTTTTATGTTTAAAAATGTAAATTGTATAATTACACATTACACATTAAAATGTACTTAAAATATTTACATTATTTCACTCTTTTATCGTGAGAGATTTTGAAATTTCCGTAAATATTCAGAATAACTGTATTATCGCATGAGCTAATAAGGCTCTATAGGTATAGCAGTTAAATTTTCTAAGAAAATAATAAAACATGAAAAATAATTTTAAAACTCTTTTCTTTATTTCAAAAAAATTCAAAAATTAAGAAAATGATTGAAATTAAATCACTTTTTGTAATTTAATACACACATATCAAAATTTTAGAAATTGTTTTATTTGCAAAATGGTAAATTACTTCTAATTAATTTCTCTTCAAAAATATTTTCACCAATAACTTATAAGTCCCGAACTACATGGACTTTGATCCCCATTACAGGGTACGTAGGCCTCAGAGTCAGATTCTGAGTCAAGTCCTCCCTCATAAATAAATAAATATTTCTCACTTAATTCTTATCATGTTTATCAAATACGCGAATATAAAAGGGATAATTAAAATAATTTTAAAACTATATTAATATCACACAACAAACTTCAGGTAACCGTTCTCGCGAACGGGTGTTGTGGGGTTCCTAACACCTTCCCCATACTCAATCGACTCCCGAACCTTTTTTCTGAATTCATAGACCATCCTTATTCACCTTTAAACGGTTTCCTGAGATTTCCCTCAAAATCTTGGTGGCGACTCCCATTTCTTCGGTCTTCTTTCAAAGGCTGGAACCTCCATTCTTGCGCCGTCTGCGTCACATTTTCGAGTACGACAAGGTAAGTACAACTACTCAGTAACCAAGGTCTGACTAGCCCATATTAATAAATAACAATTAGTTTAAATGTAAGTGGCAATTAATATTAATACTCTAACCATGTGAGACATTTGAAAACTTAATACTCACAGTTCAACTCACATAACATCAACTACCTGGAAAGTATTACTTTTAGCACTTTTCATAGAGATAAAGTTGATCAAGCATAATAGCAGAAATTAGCACTCAACTCAAATGCCATTATTATGGATTTAATATAGACAACAAATGATCACACCTCCCTTATATCCCACTTATTCCTCTGACATGAAACCGTGGGCTATAACTCAATGGAATAGTCTATATTCCTTGTCTTCCTTAGCCTAAACACTTGTGAGGGGATTACCTGGCCAAGGTGTACCCAACTCACTTATGGATCACAGTTTTCTATATTTCTCACTATAGGGTGTCATACACCCTAAACTAGCTTCCTCATTGAACCGATGGATAGCTAGCTAGGTTTGAGTCCCTCATTGAACCAGTGAGATAGTCCCTCGTTGAAACAATAGGACAGTAAGGATAGAATTAATCTTGGCAATCCATCAAACGGAT